GGAATCGGAATATTAATGAAGTTTGGAACAGATTTTATGATTGGTATAAGACCAGGGGACGAGACCGGAACAAATTGTAAATAATGTGATTGGAAAGAAGGATGGATAATGTACTTAGTAGATTGACAACTCATGGGTGGGATGACGTGCATATATAATGTGTTTGTATGGCCATAACGGATTCGCGGTGCTGCACGCTTTTCAATGCAAAAAGCAATAAAAAAAATATTTTTAAAATGGTTGGCAAACCTCTTCAGCACCGGGTGCTGAAAAGGGAATACATACATGCTGGAAACCAAAACAGCAGGCGCAGGGGTGCGCCGGGAAGATCGTCTTCCGGTTTCCGGTGTGGGCATGTGTGCCCGGCCAGCTGGTCAACCGGTTTCTGGCACTCGTGTGTGAGAAGATCAGCTGGCTGGCGCACTGGGCACCCTGGAAACAAGAAGCGCAGCCATCCAGTGCGCTGGTGCGCACCAGGAAGACGATCTTCCAGTTTCCGGTACATGCATGCACGCCAGCCACACCATCTTCCCGTTCCTGGCGTGCATGCATGCACGAGGACCAGCTAGTTGGCACGCATGTGCAAAGATCATGTTCCTGGCCTACGCACCAGCCTGCTGCTCCTCCGGTTTCCGGCACATGTGAAGACCAGCTTGCTGGTGCACCGGAACCCAGAAGAGCAACGGGGGACTGCTATGGCGAGTGCCATAGGTTCCCCATCACGGGTGTAGGGTCTCCTGCTTGGGTGGGGTTGGACTAGATGACCTACAGCGTCCCTTCCAACTCTGTTAAACTGTTAATCAGATGCCTGCAGGATCCAATCTGTGTCAGCCGTCGAGACCTGAGGATTTGGGGACTCGTGCTGGAGCTCATCCTCCGGGAACTTCTCTCGAACGGAATGTGTGCTGTTCTGGAAAAAAAACACACACACAACAACAACAACGCACAGACTCCTCGAGGGAGAAAGTTCCCCGAGGATGGGCTCCAGCATGAGTCTGAAAGCTCAGAAGGCCACCCCCCCCCCAAAAAAAACCCCACCCTTTCTGGTCCCGGTGAGCGACCCAGATTGGATCCTGCAAAACATCTATCCTGGGAGCCACGTGGCTTTGCATCAAGCGATGTTCAGAGTTCAGCCTACAGATGGGCCTGTAATTTATTCATGTGCAATGCGGAGAGAAGAATTGTCGGTCGTGCCGCCAGTTGGGAATGAATGCATGAAGAAGCACTTCCCTTATTAAGGACGGCCTTTTTCAAAAGCCCCGATTCATGTTTGAAATGCAGAAGATTTTGGAAGATGGAGATAAAGATGAAAGCGGAACTTTCCCTTTTGGGTCTAATGGGAAAAAGACCTGGAGAAAAAAAAAATTGGAACTTTGTTACTATATATATATATAGTATATATATACACACACACACACACACACACACACACAAACACACACACACACACACACCACATATATATATATATATATATATATGTGTGTGTGTGTGTGTGTTGTGTGTGTATATATATATATATATATGTCGGTCTCTAGTCGTTCCGGTTTTCTCCCGCGTAGAATTAGAGATGTCTTGGCGACGTTTCAACGAAGTCTCATTCGTCATCTTCAGGCGGCTTCAGACTACTTCAGGTTTGGTGTTTCCAACACTCTACTCCTGGAAACTACAAACCTGAAGTAGTCTGAAGCAGCCTGAAGATGACGAATGAGACTTCGTTGAAACGTCGCCAAGACATCTCTAATTCTACGCGGGAGAAAACCGGAACGACTA